TTATTATTGTTCTTGTAATACCTTGGAGGTGGTCTGAATACGCGAACTGTTTAAATTATTATCCCGCTTCCGGCGTTTTAAGTGTTCCACCGCGACACGGACGACCGTCCGCCCGCCCGCAGTCGTCCAAAGTTGAATAATTCATTTTGGCGGGATGTAAACCGAACCCATTGTCTGTACGCGCGCTTACACCACCCCGCACCCTCCTAAAACCACAACCGTCTCCACTGTTGTATATATATATATGTGTGTGTGTGTGTGTGTGTGTGTGTGTATGTATGTTTACATGACGTATACCCTGTACATTACGGTACGACGCGCTGCTCGCGTTTAGTATATAATATTATTAAACACACGCACCACCGTAGGTATACTTGTCGTGCTATGCCGTCGGGACGCGTGTAACGCGCGCCATTATCATTACGTTGGATTTCGAGTCAATATTTGATGCTAAAAATTAATTTCTCGCGACAAATTATTAATGCCCACGACCTTTATTAATTCGTAAACGGGCCGCAGCCGTCGGTATCGGCGAAGATGCGATGCTCGTCCCGTCGACAATCGTAACGCTCTTGCTTCCCCTAACCCCTCAAACATCACTTCGTTCGCGGCATCGTTGTCATAAGATGAGTAGTGCTGGAGGTGGTGGTGGTGGCGGTGATGGTGTGGTTGGGAGAGGGGGTGGTACCACAGAAAACCAATTCGTATAATTATTGTACCTACGGTTGTGCTTTTCATTAAGAATGTAGTCTTTGCTTTCCATCTACGCAGCTCTTTTACTGCATCACCGTAGTAGTACCCACCTACCGTCGCCTCGAAACCGTCATTGTGTGTATTTGTACGCTCATCACTTTATTGCTATATATGGTATAGTACCGAGCTAGCAAGTAGTAGTAGTAGTATTTCACTAATCTATACGTATAATACACGTGTTACGTGTATATAGGGTATAGATTAGCCAAGTTTCACTCGTAAATCTGACACTGAAAATGAGGAAACGAAGTTACCACCCTGTATATACTCATTAGATATACATCAGAAAATATATATATGCGTGCGTGCGTGTGTGTGTGTGTGTGTATGTGTATTCGTGGTATGGTTTTCTTGTAATGTATATACATGAACAATTTAGTTCCGGCGCAGCTCCTACAAGTGTGTGTGTGTTCGTATATGTGACGAGGGAAAAACGCCGCGGGCCCGATAAATTCGCCTGCAAAATGTCACTCAATTTCAAACGCAACAAAAAAGTAAACGAGCATTCATTCGCTCGTGTTATGTACCCACGTACATTAATATACAAGCACGCACGTGTTTGAGGCGGTGAATTCGTCGTGTCTCATCATTGGGACTATATAATATATACACGCTGTCACGTCGTCATCCACCACCCGCTTATCCAATTGTTGCCGTTGGCTATGGTGAGTTCCGATTTAATAGCCACTGCCGACCATCGTCTTCGCTCCCTCACCACATCAAACCAACCATAAGTTTTACTTTTTTTTTATATCGTAATAGAAATAATGCAAAACAAAAAGTAACATAGGTAAATGAGAAAATATGAAATGTCATCGCAAAAACCAAAGACAAATCACTAGATTATAACTACAATCGTTTCGTATACTTGATGCTACCGCGGCAGTTATAAATATTAAATTATAAAACGTTATCAGTTTTGCTGCACAGTCTACGCGTGTTCCAAACCGGAATAATTTCAACGTGTTTTACCAATAACGATATTATCAATATTAAGGATTATCAAAAGTGAAATACGCATTTTATGAGGATATTGACACCCGTAAAATCGTAACATATTATTATATTGTGTATACCATATAGGTGTTGTACATAGTCATCCAATTGCTTTGTATACTCAGATATATAACGATAAGCAGCGATGACGGCGTCGACAAATAACTATTATTTTAACGCGACACGATCAAAAGGTAGAACAACATTTAGTGCACACCTCTGTGAAAATGACGAACGAATACAATATTGAGATTGTATATTTGTATAACTGTATAAGAATACTCATTGTGTTGTACGCGCGTGTACGTTTGAAGAGATTTAGTGAAAACTACGTTACGAAAATTCATTTGGAACGTGACAAAAGAAGTCATAACAAGTCCGTCGAAAATCGTTTAAAACTTATATAATTTAATAAAAGTTCTTACCTCGTCCATGTTCCCATTTGCTGTATTCATCCGAAAATACTGCACCCGAAAAGATCACTATAAAAACACGAGAATGAATAGTCGTTAATATCAGCTCTAAGGATCCGCGGTTATATTGATAGTCGTTGATATGAACGTGACAGCGAAAGACAACGCGTGTTACGTTGTTGACCGATATAGTTTAGTTATTTGTAAAACAATCGTACAGCCTTCCTAGCCACAATCTGATGCTTTGTTTTTTTACATATTATTTTTTAACCGAGTGTCCGAGTAACGCAAAAAAGATAATAGTGTAAATATTATTAATAAGTGATATATTCTATAGTTTTTATTTTTAAGGATCTTCTTAAAAGATTTTTTGAAGCTAAATTATAGACTGTTTTAAAAATCTAAAAATAATTATTAAATATCCAAGGTTAATTTTAAAATTTCACCTCTTTTTTGAAAAATAAAAATTGTCTAAGCTACTGTAAAACTGCGATGGAAACGTATTATTATATTAGCTTTATGGGTTAATACTTTATTAAGTGGGCTTACAGATTATAGTTTGTAAAGTTTTTTTTTTTTTTTATCAAATAAACTACATGAATAATGATATTGCAGATATTCTAAATTCTTTTTTAATAAAAACATTTTTAAACTTATATATACTGATTTAAAGACTATATAATATATGTATACTGTATAATATAGATAGTGTAAATAATGGTTGAATAGTATACAACCATGACTTATTATGGTGAAAATAAAATAAAAGATCCTATAATGATTAGAGATTAATGATTTTACAAAATTAAGTTAGACACCGTTAATAATAATTTAGAAATTATTAGAGTTTTGATTTTTTAAGTGTATTAAACAATAGCTAATATAATAATGGATAATTCATCATAACTCTAAGCACATACAATAAAAAAATCCAATGTTCTGTTAAACACATTTAAGGACAATATTATGCTTGTATATTATATTTGAAATAATTTCTTTGTACAAGATATTATGTGAATGTTTACGAGTTTTTTCACTGTTTAAAGCATTATATTTGTCGTAACAAACAAAAAAAAAATAATAATTTATAAAAATCTTATATTTGTCCTACTCCACTTTGAGCCTATAATGTAAAAATCAAATTAATGACTTTATTATATATTTTAAATTTTATGAACCTGCACGTTTATTTTAATTTTATAAGCATAATATTAAATAGGAGGTACACATAAGACATTATTTGTCCGATTTTTTTTTTTTTTGAAAATATCCATACGTCTTTTAATATAAGATACTATGATTTTGGTCTAAATGTACAAAAACCTACTATTTAATTAAAAATGAATTTAACATTAGGTATACAAACCTAATAATTAACCTAATAAAAACCTATTATTGATGTCTGATTTCATAAATTTTTTTAAATTTCAATGACAAATTATAGTTATTTTTATTAAATAACAATATTTATATAAATGACTATATATGTTTTAATGGAAGATGGCTGTTAGCTCTTTTCGTCTAGCCTACTAAGAATGTGCTATTACACACACACACACATATAATAATGAAATCCTAGGACTGTATTTAAACTACTGAATCATAAATAACTGAAGTGTGTACACACTGTTTACATTTTTAAAGAGCAATTTTATTTATATAAAATTTGCTGTAAAAGGTTTACCTGTCCATTTGCGACAAACGTGCATAAAAAATATATGAATAAAAATCATTCTTTTAGGATTTTATTATTTTACTGACATATATGATGCATGCATAGAATTTTTCAATATCATCAAGTAAGTCTTTCGTATGCGTTATTGATTTTCAAAAACATTCTAGTCACTTTTATAATAAATAGATAAATATTATAATTGATGGAGCATAATAATATTATTTTTCCAATACATTTTATACATTTTTGGTTTTTACCATACGTATCTATATTTTTATTTGTAAAAATATAGTTTTATTTTATTCAAGATGTATAATTTAGAAATCCTATACGGTCTACAGTTTACATAAAATATTATTGATATATATATATATATATATATATATATATATATATATATATATGCATGCGTGTGTGTTTATTAAATTTAAAAATATTTATTTATGTAACCAATATGGTAATATCAAACTTACTAATTTAATTTCAAAAATAGCAAATAAACTTCTCCAACAAAAACAACAAAACAAAACATTGGAGTTTCTCTCAGTTTGACCTATAAATTGAAATATTTCAATAACAGAACAATAATAGGTAGTTTTGAATAACAACATTTATATGTTATCCTTTCGTATTTATTTTTGATTTGAGATATTGAGCTATAATTTGATAATTGAAAAAAACACTAATGGTAATTTATCTGTTATGGATTAAAGTTATAGAGATTTAATTAAAATTTGAATTACTTTGATTCTATTTGTAAACATTTTTTATCCGTGAAAAGTTTAAATACTTATTATTTATTGTACCCGAATATGTTTTAATATTTAAGTAAAATATTTGAATCTAAAATATAATAAATACCATAATGTTTCATATTAAATAACTGTAAATTGTACTTTGATTATAAAGAACTATGAAGGAGAAACGAATTATAAAATAATCAACACATTTTTTAATAATAGTAATATTCATAGTAAATTTTACAATAATATAAAAAAACTTAACAAAAACAGGAAAAGACTAAAAACAAATAAAAATGGGAACAATAATTATTTTGATAAAGATAATTATACTGAGAAAAACTTTCTCAAGGTATATTCAAGATACTATAATATACTATATAGATTACATAAAAAAAAAAATACAAATTATAACTCTTGACATTTTTAAGGATAAATATAATATAATAACATATCAGATTCATTGAAAATATTATTTTTTTTATTTTTATTTATTTAGCGTGTCGTCTCGTTAAATTAAACGCATATATACAAAACAACAAAAATCTTCTAAATCAACTATCGTACATACATCTATTTCAGATATATTATTTTCAATATAATTTCTCACATTTTTCATACGCCCCTCTCTCACTCTTTTTCACTGTCTATTTTTCTTTTAATTTTCTACATACATAAAAATTAAAGGTCGCGTGTGAGGCACTATATTATCATAGTATAGCATGACAACGGTGTTGCTGCATAGTCGGTTCAATCAATTTCATTGCACCGGTGGACCTACGTGCACATGGCTTACAAATCACCAGATATATAACATTGTGATGATCATATAATAGTTATAATAATAATAATAATAATAATAGCAATATTTATGTAAAAATACATGATCTGTGATTCCGTGATGGGTGACTGCAGATGCATTTTATGGATAGGTGCTCGAGGGCTATAACTGCAGATGGTGATTGGCGTTAATCCTCATAAGGTAAAGTTCGTCTCAGGTTATGATGAAGAAAAGGATAATATAAGGATAATCCTTGCTTACTCCATGATTCTGGATGTATAGTGGTGGCTGGTAAACAGTTTGGAATGAGTGTGAAGGGTTATCCACGCGGGGGACGTATTACATGTTATATATTATAATAATCATAATACGTGTTGGATAAGGATTAAGTGGGCGAGGAAGTTGAGCTTATTATTTATATTGTTTGTTATATATTTGGATAATTTAATTTTTTTTTTTACGTTAATTATTTTGGTATTTCAAAATGAATACCATTTATATCAATCCTTCTTGTCGTTTGGACAACAGTCGGACAGCGGCCGTCAAAACCACCATAGTCATGGTCGGAGTCAGTCTTGGCGTTGAATCTGAAAATAAAAATATCACCATAACGAATTAGCACTCCGATCACGTTTCCTTCAGTATTATTATATTTTCGGTATTATATATAAATATAAATATTTATTATACAATCCACAGCACAGAGATATGACACGATATCGATTTATTCCGCGACGATTACAAAAACCGTCATATTCCTTGTGGCCAAGTATAAGGCAAACAAATAATATATAAACACATAAAGATTTTTGAATGTTTAAAATATAATATTACATTGTGGTAGTATTCGTTATTAAAGATCATATTGTTATTTTATCGTCGTCGATGCGGAACAAACGTATTTGCGTAATGTGATTTGTATAATATATTTTTTTATAAAACACACATGTATAATATATACCTATATATATTTATAATATACACATAATAATATAATATTCGTAGTATTTATTTTTGCTATATAAATGACAGAGAAATTATATTTATATTCGTAAATATTTTTTTACTGTTTTTAATGAATATATTCGAATAACGAGAACAAAACATTTATAATGACGATGACATAATAATATTATATTACATGCGTATATGTGTGTGTTAGGTTTAACAAACTGCAGTGTTGTGATCAAACATATATTTCGAAAGATAAACGTTTACATAACATAATATTAATTATATATTGTGGTGTCGCGTGGTCTTTGTTAAATCGTATCCTGTAAAACTGTAAAGTATTTAAAATTAATTCATGTTTTCAAATATATTGTTTAGTAGTTAAAGTGTTTGTTTGACGACAATGACGATAGATATTTAGTACAGCAGTGTAATAATAATAATAATAATAATAATAATAATGATTCTTTTATCCTTATGTGACTAACCGTTTTATCACCCAAACGTTAGGAAATAATTCAAGTAATACTTAATAGACTAAGAATAATAAACAACAACAATAATAATAACACGTGTAGTAATATTATGTAGATATTATGACGTGTATTATGTTTATCAATACACGTGCAGAACCAATCATAAGATGATATAATTAACTAGTTATACTTCAACGGTGGAAATGTGATTATTTTCTTAAGCTGGTTAGTCGAAATAATAATAAACGAATAAAAGTCCGATAACACGTTGCAAACTTTTTTAAGGAGTTCAACTTTTTATGAAGTGTTTCACTTTATAAATCTCGTCAAGAGACTATTATACGAAAATGTCGGACGGATTTAGAAGGTTTATAAACTCTTCGAAGTACAAAGTTCTGGGTCAGTTTGGCGTATATATCAATGTGTCAAAGTGTCCACTCAAAGATTATATTATTTGGAAACTATATTATTATTATTATTATTATTATTACTATTTTTTTTCAAACTGACCATAAATGGTCTTATTTTTGTTGGTAAAATTGATAGATGTGCAACGTGAATGACGTGAAGTAGATACATACATGTAATAAATTTAATCGTAACATTTTTTGACAGGTAAAACTATGAAGTTTTATTTTTATTTGGTTTGTGTTCATAACAAAATGGCAATTTAATTGACTGTGATTTGTTTCTAAATCTTTCAATTTTTATGGTTAACAATAGTTTTGAATAACATAAAAAACAGTTATTAAAGTATTCAAAATGAATATAGGTTAATTTTTATTTTTAAACTTACGAATGAATATTGCATACATTTTATTTCATTGCTACATTTTTTTATTTTTTGGATTCATTTAATACATATTTTATACTTAAATATTTAAAGAAAATTATATTAGTGTTGTTAATGTTATTTTTTTTTATATTAATATGACTTGTTATTCTGCAGTTATATTTCAATTAAAAGGATACTTACAGTCTACAGCTATTAATTTTTAAAATGTATATATTTTTGCCAAAGTAGGTAGGTTCGTAATTGTTTTGTTTGATAATATAAAGCTGTTCATATATTTATGAAGCTAATTTAACTAAATATATTTTTAATTCATAAAATTATTTATTTAGTTCAAGATTTTTTTAATTAAATAGTGTGTTATTAATTTTTAATTTTACATAATATAAATGAAATCAATAAAAATAATAGGTATGCTTATATGTATGGTTTTTAAAGAAATACATAAGTTGTTTAAATAATATTATGTTTCACACTTTTTGCATAAGTCCTAAGCATATGCAATAGGTTTAAGTCACATTAAGTATATGCGATAGAAAATATTTACTCATAAAAATAAATAAATAACGAAATATATTAAATAAAATAATAATAAATGTACTAAACACAATTATGAATACAAAATTTAAATATATTAAAAGGCAAAAAATTAAAAGGTTTAATGTGTCTCCTGGAAATAGCAATTTTTGACATGAGCTTTTTTTAATAAGAACCATCTACTTGATTTAGTTTATACTTAAATGAAAATATAAAATTCGAAGAGATGTTCTTAATAATTAAAAATAAACTGCCAAAAAAAATGGAACGATATAAATATTTATACAATGCCAGTTTTCAATACATTTAGTTTATTTTGTTAGAATTTAGAAATGTATTATTACGGAAACTCGAAATCATCTCCAAATAATGTGTGTATTAATATTTTTTATATAGGGTATAATTTTCCAAATATTATTTCAGTAATTTTTTAATTGATTTTTTTGAGGTTTTGTTTTATATCTGTTTCTTGGTTAAAAAGTTTGTATACAAAGTTGTTTTTAGTTAAAATGTATAAAAAGTATATAGAAATCATTTTTTTTTTTTATTATTAATCTTTTGAAATTCAAATCTGTACAAATGAGATATTCAAACATAAATTAACAATTTTACTTATTTTTTTTTTATTATTAAAAAAAAAGAAAACTAACCTGTAAAATCTAATAAATCTAACTTGCAAACATCTGATATTAGTTTAATACTTAACTCATAATTGTCTACGCATAATGAAAATTTCAAAAGATTTAAAATAATACATTTTAGTTAATTTTATACCACAATAACATAATTTTACGTTACTTTGATATTGACTTATAAGTTGTGTGAGATGTTCTTGCCAAAAATTTGTTCAACTCATTGAGTGGAAATTTTAAACATCATATAAATAATAATTAAATATAATATTAAAATGATAAAGTATCTAACAACATGGAAGATGAAACTCCGACTCTTTCATTTGGTAATGTTACTTTTGTTTACAAATTACAAAATATATGCAATGATTTATTATTGAATTAAAAATTAACATATTGCAGTGGTCTATACTATAGACTCTATAGTACTCAATAATGAAGTATACTCAAAATCTATCTCATATCAAAGTATAGAGTTATGTAAGTATTCATGTAAATGAAAGAGCATCATGCATTTGATTTTATCACAAGTGCTTATGGATGTGCTGTATAATACATTTTAAAATTATTATGTATTTTTTGACAAATATTTAAAAGTAAAATTGGTTTATCTCATGAAAATAAACCATAACATTATATAGTTTAAAATAAGTGCAAGTTGTTTACTTAGTTAATCGTTGCAAATATCTCATTAATAATGGCTTTATGGCTAAATATTATATGTTTTTATTTGTATTTGTCTTAAGACGTCTATAGAAGTTTCCAGAAGACTTTCAGTGGATTTTACAATAAAGGGATTGCAGTGGATTTGAATAGAGTCAACGGGTAGAGTAATAGATGGCTGTTTGTTTGATACTGGGGATTGGAAAATCAGAGTGGAAAGTTAGACTAGTATAGCTAGAGTCTTTCGTAACCATTGTTATTACGGATTAAGCTTAATGTTTTGATTGGAATTATAAATTATTGTGTATATGTGGTACACATATATAAATATATATATATATATGTATAATTTTTGATTAATCCCTAGACGCCGTGTATGAATGAACATATTACTTTATAATGATATTATATGAGATAAATATTTATTAATCATTATAATGGTATGCACATTATAAATAGTAGGTATACATAATATATAATTTAATATTATATAGGTATATATTGAAAGGAAAATGCAAAACGTTTTTGTTATCTATTTTATTGAGAATGATCGAATATTATTCTACGGCCATATGAAGGGTTTAAATAATAACAATTTATTTATATTCTATATTACATGAAACACGTGTATATATTTACGCACCTATATATGTACTTTAAACATCACATCTACCTCATAGTGAAGCATAATATGTTTGCATGTTGGTTTATGATAAGCAAATGAATGGAATAGATGAATGAAATGTTTCATAGAGAAAATGTTATTTCAACGCGTTTACATAGTATATATTAGATACTATTACACGGCAGTTTTATTGATTCTATCAGATTATAAACCGATATTTTCAAAATCAACACGTTACGGATTATTATTAATGCAGATTTAAACAGTATTTATTTTGCATACCGTGTCAATTCAAACGTACGTTTTTAGTTTCAGTTTACTTGACGTGATCTGATTTTGAGCGTTTAATGACGTTATTATATTTACATCCATCCAGACGACATAATATATGTATTAGATCAACAAGAAGTTACAGACTTTACTTTTTTTTTAAGAAATTTTTAATTTTAAATAAATATTATTTATAATACTAATAGTATAATGCGCGACATTTTACAGTGATCGATGGGCTAGTTCATTATCCGTCATTATGCCAGATTCGACAATTATTATATTATTATAAATTACAACGTCTGTATAGAATACCTTCTGGCATATATTATTTTATCGTATTAGCATAATACTTGATATTTCTCGGTAAGATCTTTCGCTGAACAATATTATTGCCGAGATTTCCTTTTCAAGATTAGTCTCGTCGGCGCGACTATGCGATTGATTTGTTTGAGAGAAAATTTACAATAGTTAGTCCCCTAGATTTCTTGCCTTTCAAATCAGTTGGATCCAGTTCGTAGTAACTACGACGTAATCAAACCCTTTATCCTGACAGAAAATATATAATTCAATGCGTTCTTCATTTAGGATCATATGCGACCGGTGTCCTTAACCACATTCTAAAAATAAAGTATAATAT